GCGCAACTGCCTGTTTAAAACAAGAAATTCCGTTAGTTTTTCCGTTAAACCAACAAAATTCCGTTAGATAGCCACTTTATATATAGAAGAGATATATCTATGGGTTGAGTAATAAACTGCTCTTCCGTGGTTCATTATTGTTGCACAATCAGTTATAAATGGACAGAAATTTAATAATTCAAGATAGGTGGCCCAAAATTCAAAATTACGTTGTTTGATATGATACTACTAACTGGTGAGAAGATATTAGTCGTAACCGGCAATTTGTGACGGTTTGGTTTCATAAACATATTCAACCCGATACATCCGACGAGTTACCCGTGCGATCTTTCTTCTACGGACATGGCTTGTTATTCATAGTATATAACATTGTGGGGTCAGCAGTAGCATTTTATGCATTAGTCCCTGTTTGAGCCATATTATTTTTTTCATTTTCATTATTCTACTCATTTTCAATCACATATTATTCAATAAAATAATATTTTCCATCACATCAATAAATTTTCCTTCTTTTTCAACCACATATTCCTCATCACATCAACCAAAAAAATACATTCTTGGAACAAAAATGTACACCAAACAGGGGTTTAGTATGGGGTCAGGAGTAGCATTCTACACATCTAGTCTATGCGTCTGGTTGATATTTCTTTTGTGTTTCTGTCTTGTCGCAGCAATGAACTCTGTAAACGTCTCCATCATCTGCAAATCAAGGACTTTCGGTTTGCTCGTACCTAGTGGCTGCAAGTATGTGGAACTAGTTGAGATGATCTCTATTGATATGAAGATTGACAACATTGTTGGCTTGAAAATAGAATACGAAGTGGTTGCTACTCTGTCCCCGATTAGGATTACAGATGATTACTCACTCCTTTCTATCTTGAGCTGAAGAGGAAGGATTGTTGCAGGTTTTGGAAAAAACAAAAAAAAAGGGGGGGAATCGAAAAGGACAGTCGAGCATTTGGACAAGATGATGCAGGTGAAAGAGACTGTCTTTAGTCAGTCAGTATTCTTTCAGGTATCAGCAGTTAAAAGAGCTTTTCAGCATGTCTGGAGGATACATTCTCTGCAAGCTGGTTCCTGTGTAAATAACATAATTATAGGCTATATAAAGAGAATCCGACCAAGAGATTCACCCAAACACACATACAAAATCTTTATCTGGCGTCAGAATTCCAATCTCTTTATCAGTAGAAACCTGACAACTGAATGAATGTGCTTTTTACACTACCTACTTATAAATTTAGGCACTCGTGAATGGTTGATAATCTATTGATAACTAGAGAAAGTCGTAGTATAATTTGAATATTTTATAAAAACAATGTATGTGGTGTAATTTCAAAAAAAAAAAAAAAAAAATTTATAGTGATGTGAAAATGGGTTGGACCGTCCGTACCCGAAATGACCCAGTTCGTTGAAAAAACAGATTGAAATTAACTTGGCACTGTTTGTCATAATGAACGGGTTGTGTAAACTCGATTGTCTAGCTTGACATCCCATGAGGACGATGTTATTGGAACGGTTATCAAAAAAAGTGAATTTAGAAGTAAATTAAAATAGATGTTGAAGACATATTTCAGTTCTCGATCCACACCTTTGTTGTCTAAATTATGAATACATAAAATTTTGTTTTCTACATTTTCACTTTTTCTTTCATCTCAAATATGCATTTTTCAAGTTAATTTAAATAGCATTAATTTTTATTTTTATTTAAAAAAAAAAAAAAGACGAGTTGACCGACCCATCCTACAATATTGGGGTCTATAAGACGATCCAGGCCTAATCTAAATCATATTTTTGAACGTCTTGTTGTAGGCGAGTCGGTCTAGGTTGATCTAACCACCTTGAAAATTCTTCATCTTTCGTTTAGTTATGTTTCACGAGTCCAACTTCAGGCTTTTAGATTTACATCCTAATTTAGATTGTGCTGTAAATTTTAAAAAGAAGACCGGATGTGTAAAATTTATGTCACAATTTGAAGGATATTTGGATGATTTACGCACAAGTGAAAGTGTGAAATTATTAATCAAAATTTTAGGGATCCAATTACTTGTTTATAAGGATTGGAACTATCTTGTAATTGAGTCAATATATTAGTTGTGACAATCCAAATTTTTAAAATTTGAATTGTTACCTAATCATTTTGTTCACGCAACTAAACAAGCATACTTTAAATATACATGACAAAATGATATACTTCGTAATATTTCTTTTTGTTGTAGAAAAACAGTGAGCAATTTAAAGAAGGGAAAATAGTACAAAATGTCTCTATCTTTCAATGTCATTGTGCAAAATGTCCATATCTTTCATTTTTTAACATTTTCACCCCTACATTCCACCTTTCATTGCGCAAAATGTCATTTTCAACCATTTTTCAATAAATGACGATTTTACCCTTCTATTCAAATGAAACAAAAAGAAAAAAATAATAATAAACAACTAATTGCAATATTCTATTCAAATGAAACAAAAAGAAAAAGAAAAAAATAATAAACAACTAATTGCAATCATAGTGCTAAATATTTCAAAATATTACAGATAAGTCCTAAATTCTCTACCACCACCA